ATCAAATGCCAAAAAAATTAACAAGTGTCTAAATTTGAGGGCCCCTTTGAACTTGGAGGCCCGGGCAAAAGGCCCCCCCTCCCCCCCTCCCCTTCTGATTGGCCCTGGTTATGAGAAGGAGTAAATAACACTTCCTTATTCACTTTCTCCTCATCAGTAATGATTTTCTAGATCTTTATCATATCCCCTCTTAGTTATTCTTTTCCAGTTTTTCCAAAATTGCACACTTTATTCAAGGTGTGGGTGTACCATGGATTTATATAGTGGTATTATATTTTGTCTTAGTGTCTGTCCCTTTCCTAATGGTTCCTAATGTTCTGTTTGCTTTTTTAACTGCCTCTTCACATTGAGTGGATGATTTCAGAGAACTATCCACAATGACTCCAAGATCTCTTTCTTGAGTAGTAACAGCTAATTTAGACCCCATCATTTTGTATGTATAGTGCCCCCCATATCTTAGAAACCAGGTAGTCCTCAACATGTTAAATCTGTTGGCATTAGGGAGTGTTCTCAAGGACAGTGGCCAGAGTTACTGATCTACCCCTGAAGGCCCTCTTAAGTTCTCCCATCATGTAAAAAGTGAGCCACTGGACATTTTGAAATAGCTCTTGAATAGATTGTGGAAGGCTGAATTCTAGCCCTTCAGATAGAGCAGCTCTAGAAGTGAGCTCCCCTGGCAGAACAAAGAAGTGCTTTGCTAGCCCTGGGATCTGTACTCACTGTAGTTCTTCTGGTTTCTTTTGCAGAGCCGTGTCCCAAGTGTGAGCATCCTCGTGCCTACTTCATGCAGATTCAGACCAGATCAGCTGATGAGCCCATGACCACCTTCTATAAGTGTTGTAATGCCCAGTGTGGCCACAGGTGGAGGGACTAATTTTTGCTTCAGATTTAATTTCTTCAGTATCGTTTTTGCTGTTTGTTTGAAAATTCCCCGGCTTGGTTGTATGAAAGATGGTAACATGGAAATAAGTGTCCCTGGTTCCAGCTGTTGCATGATGTTAAATTAACACCGGCTGCTGCTAGTGCAGGCTTTCACCATAATCTGATGGTCCAGGGGCTGAAGGTTATACATATACTGCACATTTTCCTGAAAGCAAACATTGTTAGAACAAAGAACTGCCTCTGTTTAGAGATTATATGCAAAAATGTATTTATTCAGCAGTTCCTACTGCAATGCTGCTCTTTTATAGGGATGCATTAAGTTATCGTTTATTACTAACCACAGCTGTGATCTAAGATTGCAGGTTAAAAAATGGCAGGAATGGTCAGTATCTAGATGGGAAACAGCCAAATAAAATGTTTACTTCGTACTATTGCTTCAGCGGGTGATGCTTCCCCTGGATCAGTACTGAACTCACAGGACTGGGGCCCTGTTGTACTATGCTCTGTACAGAAAGCTGACAAAGCCTGTCCCCTTGCCCTAGATTGCTTATGAATGAAAGAAAAAAAGACAGGTGAAAGATGAGGGAAAAGAGATGCAGCATACAAGGAGCATGATCAGAGTGATGGAGAGGAATTGTCATTTTAGTTTTGTGTTTCAATATTTAACTCCTGTCCCTGGATGGTATGGGGCCAGTGTGTGAGTGGAGGTGGCTTCCATCTCATAAGGCCTAAAATCAAGGTCCTGACTGCTGGACACTAAGGATATCACAGTGCTTTTTTCAGGCTTATTTTAAACAGAGGCCTTGTCTATGTTCAAAGTTGGACTAGTTTAACTAACGGTGTGTTTAAAAAACCTTCAGCAACTAGTGAAACCAGTGCAAATCCCTGTGTTGATACACAGTAGGATTTAAACCTAACTTATATTGATGTATTTTGATTCCTTAGGGAGTTAATATAAGCCAGCTTTAAGTCAAATTAAGAGTGTCCTGTAGTTTTACTAAACTAGCTTTTCAACTCCTTTAAAGTTAAACCAGTGCCATTTCAATATAGACAGATGTTCTCCTTTTAATATTTATTCAGTGTCAAGTAACCAGGTGACTTTTCACTAGAAAGAACTGCAGTGTAATGTAATTTTTCCCAGTGCTGTGTTACTCTAAAATTTAGATGCCAATTAAGTTAGCCTACGATAGCGCTTTTAAATTAACAAAAGGGTAACAGGGTTGTGGCCCGCCCTAAAGGAATTGCCAGAGTGTTACCTGCAGAGGGCTCCCCAGAGCAAGCTAGTCTTGCTAACCCCTGAAAGGACACGGATACAGCCTTCCGCTCAAGGATGGGCACACAAGCAGAAATTCTTTGAAAACAAAAGAATTACTTATTTTATTTACAGTGGGTTTAATAAGGCAAGAAAAAATACATAGGATTTAATAAAACACAATAGAATTACATTTAAGAATTGTACAATAAAGCGGCGTGAAAAAATAAAAAGACAGACTATATAGGATATCTAAGACATACAGGAAATACAGTAGTTTCAATGTAACATGCATATAGGGATCCCATATACACAAAGACTTTTAGTTTCAGTGATACAATTTAACCCTGTACTTAATATAATGTGGTATACATGACCTCTATATACACATATGAAATACCATTACCATATTCACAGATTTAAACATTTATTTAGCATCAACATTAACACTTTATACTAAACATTTAAAATTTAACATCCTGCAAATGCTGGCCAAATGGTTGCAGGACGGGTAGGGGAGATCTCACTCAAGACACAGGCATCCGGCTTTATTTACAGACAGACCTATACATTCTTAAATGATAAGTAGAAAAGAAGATCAGACTTACACTAAGGGCTGGTCCACACTGGGGCGGGGGATCAACCTAGGAAACGCAACTTCAGCTATGAGAAATCGACGTTTCCTAGATCGAACTAAGTTTACTTACTGCGGGTCCACGCGGCACAGGCAAGCTCCCCCGTCGACAGCGCTTCCTCCTCTCGGCGAGCAGGAGTTCCGCAGTCAACAGGGGAGAGCTTCTGGGATCAATTTATCGCGGCCAGATGAGACGCGATAAATCGATCGATCTCTACCCACCGAATCGGGCAGGTAGTGTGGACCTACCTTTATATTGAAAACTCCCTTTGTACCGTCTTAGGTCCTTCTGGTCTGTCTTAGTTTTAGGGAGTGTAGTCTCTACAGTTGTGGTCTCTCTTTGAGCTGGGGGGTAATGGCGGTTGCTGCTGCTGGCCATTACTGCTGGCACGGTAGCTGCTAGCAGGCAGTTGTTTGTTGCCAAGGCAACCTTAGAATTCTGCTGATGATCTTTGAAGCTTCTTGATCTTCCCAGGTAGTGCTGTCTTCCTTTGATGTCTTGCCACTCTTGCTCTTCTTAGGTCTGCTGTCGAACCCACTAATGTCTAATTCACTACAGTCTCAGCCTGCTGGCTGTCTGCCTCACATACTGGTTGCTCGCTCAAAGTCAACTCATTAACATAATTTTTCTGGCTCAGCCAATCTGTTCCCAGATATTAGCATATTTCTTCTTCCTGTCTAGATCTGTTCCTTTTTATTAGCATATTTGTACTTCCTGACTTGCTCCTTCCCCTCTTACATTATCCTATTTTTAGATAACTAAGCTCCTCCCCGATGCCATCTTGGATTCTAGACCTTTCTAAGCTCCTCCCTCTGATGCCATCTTGTTTGCTAGAACTTTCCACTACCTAAATTTGAACTGCATTATCCCCATCTCTGCCATTTTGGTCAGCCATGTTGGATTTTCTAAATTTAAACTATCATTAGTTTCTACTTATTTAGAACCTTAATCTTAAAACTAATTAATATTTTATGCAAGCCAAAGTTTCCTGATACTGTCATCACCTTAATTATATCAATTGGGAAAAGTGAATTTTATGGTGTTTTTAAACTCCCTCCAAAGTTTTTCTGCAAGCCTTTATTAAGGTGCTGCAAGGTATTTCAGAACATTCAGAGCAAAAATCTCTTGTTACAGCTGTGCTCTGAAAAAACATATACAGCCGTGAAAGAAGAGCTGCAAGGAGCACCCCACTTTGGGGCTTCTGTCCTTGGAGCTTCCCTTTCACACTCAACTAGGTTTGAAAGTGGCGCCTATGAGAGTGAGGTTATACCTGACCAGTAACCAGTTGGTACATTCTACAAGTAGCACATTTAAGATGCTGCTGTAGAAAATCATTTTGGGAAAGCAGCATACAAATTCCATATTCATCTTTCAGTGATCTTGCATCAAATGGGGCCAATTTACAAGTACAAAGAATTGTTTTAATTGCTAGCTCTGCACATTCACACTGGCATTAGTACATCTGTGCTTTTTCCATTTCATGGATGATCCATAAAGACTTTGTAATCAACTTGGGTTATAGTTCGGTTACATGAGGTAGAATAACACTTAACTCCCTCTCCCAGAGCTGAGCTAGCTCTTCAGGATTTGGAGGAGTAAAATGTAGGAAAAATTTACTTTGGCAGCAATCTGCTGAGAATCCTCATCGGTTTGCCACGTGTAATGTCATGGATAGGGCCCTACCAAATGCACGGTCCAATTTGGTCAATTTCACAGGCAGAGGAATTTAAAAATCATAAATTTCATGATTTCAGCTATTTAAATCTGAAATTTCAGTGTTGTAATTGTAGGGGTCCTGAACCAAAAAGGAGTTGTGGGGGGACACAAGGTTATTGTAGAAGGGGTTTCAGTACTGCTACCCTTACTTCTGTGCTACTGCTGGCAGGGCGCTGCCTTCCGAGCTGGGTGCCTGGCCAACAGCCACCGCTTTCTGGCTTCCCAGCTCGGAAGGCAGCGCAGAAGTAAGGGTGGCAATACTGTGACCCCCCTGCAATTTCCTTTTGGGTCAGGACCCCCAATTTGAGAAATGCTGATCTCCCCCAAGACATCCGTATAGTATCGGGTAAAAGCACACAAAAGACCAGATTTCATGGGGGGGGAGACCAGATTTCATGGTCCTTGACGCATTTTTCATGGCTATGAATTTGGTAGGGCCCTAGTCATGGAGAAGCAGCACTCTCACAGGTTTGCTTCCTCTGCCCAGCCATGCTCCAAATTCAGAGAAGCCCAACCACGTGGAGCTCAGAGAGGAGAGCTGTGTCGACTCAACTCTCTGCCTTCAGAGAGATTTCATGTCAAAGGAGCAAAAAAAATAGTGGATAAAAAGGCCAAGTGAGAGCTGCGAGATTGTTTAAGCTGCGTCAGGTAGGATCTGTGGTGTGTATTTAGACGGAATATATGGGCCAAAGCTGTTAACATAACCCAGTCACTATCCAACATTAAACAATTTTAAATAAGGTTTGGTATACAGAGACCTTAGCCTGTTTTGTGCCATGCCAAACATACCGTTAAAAATCCTTTTAATGTTTTATAAGATACGGGAAAAATGGTTACAGCATTTGCTATGTAAAGTATTGAATAAGGTTTTTGTTTTAACAACATTCATTATTCCCTTTCCCTTTAGCTGGAGAGAATTTTTAGAAGGAAAAAATATTTGTTTGGCACCATCTAAGAGACTGCCAATGATGGTAATAACTGTCTTTTTTGGGGAAAAGATTAGTAGTTAGTAGAGATGGGCTGGAGCTGTCATTGTTGCTGTTGATGTTAAAGTCTGATCCTGTTTCCTAAAAGGGAGAGGAAAAGAATAGCAAAGACAGAAAATGCAGCGTCTGTATCTGGTGCTGATTCTCACTTGCAGTCTCGCTGCTGGAAGAACATAGGCATGGCACACGGTCTGATCAGCCACTCTGAGACCTGGCAAAGTCATACCAACATCAGACAGTTTAGGGCATTGCTTTTTGCTACTCTCTGGTCACAGGCTTACAGCAGTGTTGCAAAATATGTAGTCTTGACCAGCTAAGCAAGACAGAAGGAAAACGGAGAGAGAGAGAGGAAGAGAACAGAGAAGGATACATGGGGTGAGACAAAGTGGTAGTGGGGATTTAG